TCCGGTAAGGGTAAACCACTGGAAGGGGGAGCCCTGTCGATGAATATCAACTCAAGCTCCCCCTGGTGTTCCCGTCGGGGTCGTGTCATGGCCCTAGCCCTACCCCGGGCTTCAGACAATATCAACACCCCCGAATTCCTTTAACAGAATACCCTTAAGCTTGGAGGGGCAGGTGATGGCCACACCTCCCCTCCCCCATCACAAGGTCAAACAATGCCTAACCGCAACCCTAACAAAGTTGTGACGATTGCTACGAGGTAGGTGTAAACCACGTGGCCAGTGCCAATTTGCCAAGTGGAAAAAATCCTTCCAGGCCCCTCAACGGTGACCAGCCGAGGTCCATAGCAAGGCCAGTGCTTAAACCTGCAAAATAGGGATGGAGGGCGGGTGATTGAGGAAGCGAGCCAAGAGCAAGCCCTCTGGCTCGCGCCTCCGATTAAATGGTCCCGGCCATGCCCCCTGGCCAGCGGATTGGCTGGCCAGGCTCTGACAAGGCTGGGATCCCCCGGCAACAGGGACTCAGTCCCCCACCCCCGGTGGGGAGTGGGTGGCCACACGGTCAACCGCAACCCCTCCCCACTGGGAAGTGGAGCGGATTTGTGAATGCTTAAATTATCCATGATTCCTGAATTGCAGAGGGTTGGGCTATATGATCCTTTGAGTCCCTTTCAACTACTCTATGATTCTATTGGAATGCACTATTCTGTAATGTAGTGATGATCACCAACTTCAATAGGCATAGTGCTAAATCATGTCTTAAGGTTATGTTTGAATGCAGCTAATATTGGGGCGTGGGGAGGAAGGACTGAAGGATTTCAGAGAAAATTTCTGTTGTGTTTTTATGGACAATTGTTTTATGTTGAGATTACAAAATAGGGGGTGTCTTATACATGGGGGTTTCTTATAGACGGAAAAATATGGTAAATGTCCCCATGTTCTCTTCAGAATTCAAACTGGTTCAATGCTTGGGAAGGGGGAAAAAAGCCTTTTTTTTCCTTTTTTTTTTTTTGTAAATTCACTTAATCATGGGATTCTTTCAAGCTACAATATCATTAAACCCAAGATGGTCTGGGCCATCTCCAAATGTTGTCAGTGTCGAGAGGCAGCAATTGTCATAATTGGACAGATAATTAGCCAAATTATCTGCAGTGATGCTTCTTGGCATCCACAAGTATTTGCTGAGAGGCTGAAAAAGAACTTGAGCTATGTATAAAGCTGACATCAGAATGCCACCGGTTGACTCCAGATTAGGTCCTTGCCATGCAATACATTTGGGGCAAAGAAAAACACCACCCCCATTATTGTCTCTCATTTCCAAGTGGAAGAAGGTGACCATTTTGGTAGGGTTTTTGGTAGGTGGTGGGGACAGTGCTTCTCTATATGACTGGTGGGCAATACCACCACCCCTGACAAACAAATTCCCCTCAATGGCTTGCCCTCTCCACGCCACCCCACCCATGTCCCCCTAGGAAGATATAGTGTCCTTCTTAGAAGGATTATGGAAAAAAAACCAATAGACACTAGCCAGTGGCTTCAAGAAGTCCCCTGATATTTCCTTTAGATCTCAAGAGTCTGCTAGAGCATTTCCCTTACGACAGTCAGTTCCCGAAAGTCTGTTGGAATAAGAAAGTTCTCCTTCTTCATTAAATAATTCACTAGTTTATTTTTCTACTAAGATCTGTAAGTTGCAGATGGCCTGCCTGCTAGTAGAGAGACACTTTTGAGTTTTGTTCCTTTGTATATCCTTTTATGGGGGGACACGGGTGGCGCTGTAGGTTAAACCACAGAGCCTAGGGCTTGCCGATCAGAAGGTCAGTGGTTCAAATCCCCGTGACGGGGCGAGCTCCCGTTGCTAGGTCCCTGCTCCTGCCAACCTAGCAGTTCCAAAGCATGTCAAAGTGCATGTAGATAAATAGGTACCTGTCAGGGAACTGCCATATGAGCTAGAGGTGGAGGGAAGGCTCCAGAGGGATGCCAGAGAGGGTCCCAGTAGGGAGAGAGGCAGGCCGTCCGCTGGGGAAGGAAATCAGTGTAACACCAGTGTAGAAGGGGGGCAGATGGGGGAATCGGAGAGGAGGCTCCAAGACTCCTCGCCGGAGACCAGCGGAGAGAGTACGGGTCCTCCGCTGCCCACACCCTCCCTGCGCAGAAGGCTTCCGCGCAGGGAGACTAGGCAGAGACTAGGCGTCAATGAACTTTTATGCTGGAAGAAGTTCAAGAAACGCCCACTGACGGATTCTGCCAGCGACTGAGACAGCCACGAAGCTAGAGGCTGTCCGGTCAGAAAGGGTTCAACCAGGTAACCTAGCCAGGAGTGGCGGCAATTTACGCACGAGCAACCCCTAAACCCATTACAGTACCGCTCCAGCGGGAAGGTAAACGGCGTTTCCGTGTGCTGCTCTGGTTCGCCAGAAGTGGATAAGTCATGCTGGCCACATGACCCGGAAGCTGTACGCCGGCTCCCCTGGCCAATAATGCGAGAGGAGCGCCACAACCCCAGAGTCATCCACGACTGGACCTAATGGTCGGGGTCCCTAATGGTCGGGGTCCAACTTTTCATGACCCCATTGACCAGAGCCCACCAGGCACTCATGTCTTCCACTGCCTCCCACACTTTGGTCAAACTCATGCTGGTAGCTTCAAGAACGCTGTCCAACAATCTTGTCCTCTGTTGTCCCCTCTTCCTTGTGCCCTCCATCTTTCCCCAAATCAGGGTCTTTTTCAGGGAGTCAAGTCTTCTCATGAAGTGGCCAAAGTATTGGAGCCTCAGTTTCAGGATCTGTCCTTCTAGTGAGCACTCAGGGCTGATTTCCTTCAGAATGGAGAGGTTCTTGCAGTCCATGGGACTCTCAAGAGTCTCCTCCAGCATCATAATTCAAAAGCATCAATTCTTTGGTGATCAGCCTTCTTTATGGTCCAGCTCTCACTTCCATACATTACTGGGAAAACCATAGCTTTAACTATACGGACCTTTGCTGGCAAGGTGATGTCTCTGCTTTTTAAGATGCTGTCTAGGTTTGTCATTGCTTTTCTCCCAAGAAGCAAGCGTCTTTTAATTTTGTGACTGCTGTCACCATCAGCAGTGGTCACGGAGCCCCAGAAAGTAAAATCTCTCGCTGCCTCCATTTCTTCCCCTTCTATTTGCCAGGAGGTGATGGGCGCAGTGGCCATGATTTTCGTGTATTTTTATGTTGAGCTTCAGACCATATTTTGCGCTCTCCTCTTTCACCCTCATTAAAAGGTTCTTTAATTCCTCCTCACTTTCTGACATCAAGGTTGTGTCATCTGCGTATCTGAGGTTGTTGATATTTCTTTCAAAGCAGCATCACCTAATCATCATCAGGGCTTACACGGAAGGGGTCTGGCTTGGTGGTAGAACAGCTTCCTTCGTACAGAAGGTCACAGGTTCGATCCCCAGCATCTGCAGGTAGGACTGGGAAAGATTTCCGCCTGAAACCCTGTAGAGCTGATGCCTGTCAGTGTAGGCAGTACTGAGCTAGATGGACCACTTCTCTGACTTGGTATAAGGCAGCTTCCTATGGTCCTAAAAATATAGGGGTGCAGTCAACTAAATAGATGTACTATTTATTCTGTGAACTGCCCTAAGATCTTATGATGAAGGGCAATATATAAATCAATTAAATCAAATAAATAAATACTACTGGGAGCCAGCACAATGAATCATACTAAGACAATTGGGGGGTTCCCCCTCTCCTTGCTCTGTTTCCCCCATCAGCTTATGGGGAGGGGGGTCAGGAGGTTTTTGAATGTCTCTATATATTGCAAATGATCGGATTTTGCATTCTCGCTTGGATGAGATTCTCCAGACCCAAGATACACAACTGACTAGCTATAAATCTTCATCCATCAATGAAATGCTGATGAGCAGAGGAGAATTTGCAGTCTGAATACAACGGAATGAGCAGTACATCCAAAGATATAATTGTGCATAGCCCCTAAGCTATGAACAAAGCATTCCTTCTGCTTTACTGATACAGTTTCTAGGCTGGTAAGGTTAAACGAGATATAATTCCTCAGCGTTTGGAGTCAGAAGTAAAAACTGTGACAGCACCTTTAATAAGGTGCAATATATAGTGCAAATATTGGTGAATGATCCCAAATTTTGCAGCAAACTTTGGAAAGATGATCCCATCTCCTTTGGACTCTTTCTGCCTCATTAGGTAGGGGTTTTTTGGGGGGGGTTTTTACACTCAAGCTCTGCAGCTCTGACATGATAAATTGCTACCTTTGGTCTCAGCATGGATAATTTTTTCCCTCTTAGCTACTCACACAGCTTCCGTTCTCACACACAGAGGGAATTCAAAGCTTGGGACTAGCTTAAAAAAACTAGATGAATAAAAACAAAGGGCAAGGGAAGGTGTTCTTGGCTCAGCAAGTGTCCATAGTGGAAGGCAGCTGATAAACTCTTCATTCTGAGGGTTCACACTGAGAAAAGGCAACTGGTTATCATGTTCTGGAGAGTTTACACCAGCTAGGACTCACACACGACTCCCCTGCATCAATAGATGAAGCTTTCTCATTAAAATAACACACAAAACTGCTTTGTACATGGTAATCAAACCTTCCTTCTGCACACAGACGTGGCTGTCTGAACTGCTGCCTACAGATCTCCTTCTCAGAGCTTTATATCTTTGTGGTGATGTAGGTCTTAAATACTGTGGATCTCAGTGGTGAAGGAAAAGAAAGTCACCCAGTCTACATTTAAAGTGGATTGACCTAATTTGCCAGTCATGGAACATAGTAGATATCAATTGGATTGTGCTCTCCGCTTAATTTTACAATGAAGTGTTGGTTCCCCAAAAGTGATGAATGAATTTACCACCCACTTTGTGCCAGGGGTGCCCAGCAATGGGAGCTCTGGGTGCCTGAGCACCCACAAATAAATTGTTGTGGGTGCTCAGCACCCACACCGCAGGGTCCCCACACAACTTCTGAGGTCTCACAAGGTTTCAGAACCTGACTTTCAGCACCACCAGGAGTCAGGTTCTGAGACCAAGGGGCAGGTGTGGCATCATGACATCACATTGCAACATGATGTCATGATGTCACACACACTGGGTACCCATAACCTGGGGCCCAAATTGGCTCCCTTGCTTTGTGCTGCATTCCCAAGCAACACAACTCTGAGAAGATCCAGTCTACTCTGGTTCACTGGAACATCTGCTATTCTCAGAAGATCCATGGACACCTCTTAACAGTTTCACATCCTCTTGAATTCTTTCTTCATAGCTCTTTCCAACTTTTCCTTATGGTACTTGTTGACTCTTGGTCTCATGTCAGTATTTAGCTTTTGATGTATGGAAGTGATGTATGGAAATGAGAGCTGGACCACAAAGAAGGCTGATCGCCGAAGAATTGATGCTTTTGAATTATGGTGCTGGAGGAGACTCTTGAGAGTCCCATGGACTGCAAGAAGTTCAAACCTATCCATTCTGAAGGAAATCAGCCCTGAGTGCTCACTGGAAGGACAGATCCTGAAGCTGAGTCTCCAATACTTTGGCCACCTCATGAGAAGAGAAGACTCCCTGGAAAAGACCCTGATGTTGGGAAAGGGAGAAGGGGATGACAGAGGATGAGATGGTTGGACAGTGTTCTCGAAGCTACCAGCATGAGTTTGACCGAACTGCAGGAGGCAGTGGAAGACAGGAGTGCCTGGCGTGCTCTGGTCCATGGGGTCATGAAGAGTCGGACATGACTAAATGACAATGGCGATGGAACACACTTTCACAGGAGCCAGTGATGGCCACCCACCTGAATGACTTTAAAAGAGCATTCATGGAAGAGGGCTATCAATGGCTACTAGCCATGTGGGCTATGCTCTGCATCCACAGTCAGAGGCAGCAAGGCTCCTGAATACCCATTGCTGGAAGCCACAGGAGGGGAGAGTGCATTTGTGCCCCAATTCCGCTTGCTGGTTTGCCACAGGCAACTGGAGTCTGATGGCATCTGGAGAGCCCCATCTCCACCCATCCCTGCTGTCTGGCTTTAATATTGCTGCATTTTGCTTTCTTGCTCTGAGATTAGGCCACCTACTTCAAGAGACAGGAGAAATTGGCCACGGAATTACAGCAGAGTGTTTTTGGGTCTGAGAGCTGCATTAAGTCAAATTTCCTGCTATTTGACAATCTCAATTAAAAAAACCTGCAGCGGGATAAGAAGTGACAGCCATGTCCGGCAAGACAAATGTTTCCGGCTTTCTCTGGCTAACTGCTGATATAAACTTGGTGGTTTTAAAAGGAAAGATTTTATAGAGATACAGCTGCTGCTTTTATCGAAGGTGTCAGCACTCTGCTAGTGATAACGTCTCACTGAGTGAACAGCCATCCCTTCCCTGCCCCCTTTGCTAAAGCCCATAATAGATATTGTTAGCACGCAGATAAATCTCCGTTTATGTTAGGCTTGGCTACAAAGAAGAATTAGGTGGTGTTTTTCTAAAACACACAGGGCCGCATTTGTTACAGCCATGAACCCAGATTGCTTCAGGTTCGGGGAGGTGTTTTAGTGCACCGTAAAGGCGAAACGGAAAAAAATTGACTTACGCGGAAAGAAGCTGGGAGGCTGGGAGGTTGCAGAGATGGGCTGGAGGAAATCTGGGTGCTGTGGACTCTGTGGATGGTGGGCTGGATGAATTTCAAAAATGAATGGAACAGAACACTGGTCCCAACAGAGAGTGTCACAATTTGGTTTGTGCTTAGACATCTTTTCTTTTGGCAGATCCAAACCATACATTTAAAGCACATCCACCTTGAACATTTTGGAGGAAAAGTGGAATGAATAAAAGCGTCAATAAAGGTAAAGGGACCCCTGACCATTAGGTCCAGTCATGGCCGACTCTGGGGTTGTGGAGCTCATCTTGCTTTATTGGCCGAGGGAACCGGCCTACAGCTTCCAGGCCATGTGGCCAGCATGACTAAGCCACTTCTGGCAAACCAGAGCAGCGCACGGAAATGCCATTTATCTTCCTGCCGGAGTGGTACCTATTTATCTACTTGCACTTTGATGTGCTTTTGAACTGCTAGGTTGGCAGGAGCAGGGACTGAGCAACGGGAGCTCATCCCGTCACAGGGATTTGAACCACCAACTGTCTGATCAGCAAGTCCTAGGCTCTGTGGTTTAACCCACAGTGCCACCCGTGTCCCTTGTGTGTAGTAGTTTTTATCATTAACTGGACGGGGCAGTAGTGGCGAACCAACATGAAAAACAAATATTAAAGAATCTGGGAGGCAGCCGGGATATGCAGGTCTGCAAACATTAGACTTTACATGTAAGCTCTTGGGAATTCGAAAGCGTGTCTGCCTGCTATGTCAGGCTTGCTTGGGTGGGGTGTGCAGGGAGGTGCAATCCATGTGCCCAGCCTACATATTGGCCCTGCACACTGAGTAAACTTAATACTTGTAGTAGCATTTGCCAAAGTGTTTTGACAATCTTACCGGTGTGACAAAGTGGAATTTTTGCAAAATAGCAAAACAAACAGTCCTAGCACCTCCAAGATGAGCAGATTTAACTGTGGCTTAAGATTTATTGGACTGGAGCAGGCCAGAACTTTATCACTCCACACCTGCCAGTCAACTTTGGCAGGTGGATGAGGCCACCCACTGATCAATAATCATGCAGTATGCAAAAGCAACACCCAAATTTTTGTTACATGAGTGGTGCGGGCCTGATCCACGAAAACCAAAGGAAACGTACAATGCAAAACTCCTGCAATATTTCAGGTTTCCATGGTTGCAATCCGCCGCCCCACCCCCCAAAAAACAACAACATGGAAATGAGCGCTAGATTTCCAATAGAGGATCTTACATTGTTTGCAGAGCATGTCAAAAATTGAAATTAACAGGTAAGAAACTGTCAGGAAGGTGGAACAAAGTAGGAATTATGTAGGTTTGCCTTTAAACGCAAACTGAATCGAATTCCTTCCCCATCCCTATCTGGAAGAGATCCTGATATCCCATGTACAAAAAATTATATGACTTCCTCCTTCTGAATTTCCACTAAAACTTATTGTGGAGAACAAGGTGTAGCTAAGTTGAGTAATACAGTAATACCACTTTACCCAGGTAATTATTTCTTTTGAATGTTGGTGTGTGCTTAGCTGTGTGGCCTCTAGCTTTTTATAGCACACAAGCTCAGCCACCAAAGGAATGGAATATCTGACCCTTTAGTGACATCTGTTGTCTTGATACTTGTTGTGTCAGCTTTCAGCTGTAGACAACCAAATCTAGGTTGTCTCAGGGATGTGACCTTATCACGGCAGACAGATGGTGAAAGCACTTTCAAGCCACATTAAACCCTTTTCCTCCAGCAGGTTTTTCCTCTCTCTTTTTCCTTTTTTTTTGTGTGTGTCCTGAACGTATTTATCTTTGACACCATATTTCAGTTCTACAGATGAAGAAGACCACTTGCCTGCAGTAGTCCAAGAACTCTGAACTCTTCTCTAATCACTTTCCAAGGCATGCCAACTGCAGCCTCCCAATATGTGAACAAAAAGACTCCCTTCATTTTTTTAAAAAAATGTTCTACATACATTTTTTATAGCAAAACCGTGCGTGTGTGTGTTTGTGTGTGTGTGTAACTTGCAAAAAGCATGTATAGTTCCTCTAAACTTGGGTAGAACCACTAGTTCTTCATTGCCCCATATTTTTCATTTCAATGTATTCTAAAATTCAATGTATTTATTCATTTATTGCATTCATAGCCCACCTTTCCCTCCACAGAGCTCAATGTGGTTTAGATGGTTCTCTTCCTCATTTACCGTATTTTTCGCTCTATAAGACACACCAGACCACAAGACGCACCTAGTTTTTGGAGGAGGAAAACAAGAAAAAAAATATTCTGAATCTCAGAAGCCAGAACAGCAAGAGGGATCGCTGCGCAGTGAAAGCAGCAATCCCTCTTGCTGTTCTGACTTCTGTGATAGCTGCGCAGCTTGCATTCGCGCCATAAGATGCACACACATTTCCCCTTACTTTTTAGGAGGGAAAAAGTGAGTCTTATAGAGCAAAAAATTACTGTAATCCCCACTACAACCTTGTGAAGTAAATTAAGCTAAGAGGCAGAGACCAGCCTAAGGTGAGCTTCATGGCCAAGTGGGGAATCAAACCCTGCTCTCCCAGGTTCTAGTCCATGGGTAGGCAAACTAAGGCCCGGGGGCCGGATCCAGCCCAATCGCCTTCTAAATCCGGCCTGTGGACGGTCGGGGAATCAGCATGTTTTTACATGAGTAGAATGTGCGCTTTTATTTAAAATGCATCTCTGGGTTATTTGTGGGGCATAAGAATTCGTTCATTCCCCCCCCCCAAATATAGTCAGGCCCCCCCACAAGGTCTGAGGGACAGTGGACCGCCCCCCTGCTGAAAAAGTTTGCTGGCCCCTGTGAATCTAGGCCAACACGCTAATCACTATGCCACACTGCCTCTTTCAAAAATGAACAAACTCAGATTCCATTGCTGAATTTGCTCCCCAATTGGCAAGTTGCTATTGTCTCCAGAGCCCCACAAAGTGTAGGAAATCTCTTTAAGCGGTGAGAACTGTTGTTTTCCAAAGCAGACTTCCAGAAGTCTCTGATTGATCACGTGGATCTTTGGCCACTGGAAGAATTGCCATTCTGCTGCCAGATTGTCTCTATGGCAAGAGTTGGTGGCCTCTCTGATTTTGTCTGCCTCCATCACTTATCATTTGTGTGTGGAAATGGCATTTATGCCGATGTAAACCAGCAAAAATAACTTCTATAGGAAGGAGGTGTAAAACCCTTCCTGCTATTTCGGTGGAAGTTTCCACCTCCCTGTACATTGGACTGGGACACAGAACAACAACAGGTGAGGTGAGCTTGGTTTGCATAATGAGGATCTGACATCCTTTTGATTCATCACTCACATTCTTTATATCTGTATCAGCTTGCTCCTTCAGCCTCTTTTTTCTTAAATTATTTTGCCGATCCGACAATGATATTCTCAAACCAGCTGCCGGTTTGGGATTGCCACGCCCTTCAACATCAACAATTGTTGGATCAATTGCACAATATTTCCCCCATTCACAAGCCTCTCCCTGAGGCTTCAGTGCAGCATACTCTTACTTGGGAGTAGACCCCATGGAGCTTATTGAGACTTATTTCCATTGCATGTATTACACCACAGTTCTGAACCACACTTGGTACACAGTGTTATCCCCTTTAAATTTCTCATCAGTTTGTTCATTCAATGTCTCCACTTTCTGGAAGATCTGACAGTAATATCTCAGACTGCCACTACCTGTCTAAGGAGCTAATCTTTTGTTTTTGTTTTTGCGAAACAGATCTGATCATTGTTGTACATCACACAACCATGATTTGGCTTAATTATGCACCAGTCACCCCCTTCACCCACTGATAATATTCTGATAAGCCCCATGAATGTTGAAGACACCCAACTGAAATGACAAATATGCTGGTTTTGCCCTAGAAGCTGGAAATTGTAGATTATTTGTGGCATCTGTACTGTATACATATTAGGATGGACACAGTAATGGAAGATGAATTCTTGGGCCAGATGCAAAAAAGGCTTCTTAAACATCTTGGTGGATATAAGGATCAGTCACATTTATGCCCTAACCCTGAATGAACCACCTTCCATTCACGGTTTATTCCTCTGCCCCTCTCTTGTGCTCATTCCCTTTCTGTGCAAGTCTGGGGATTTGGAGCGGCAGATATTAGCTAGGAGTTTTTTGACAGACACCAGCATGATGGACTGCAAAGCAACGTGACTGGTGGAGGAAGTGCAATGCTGCTGAACCACAACTGAGAAGTGGGATGGGTGGGTGGAGAGGGGGAAAGGAGCCAGCAAGTCAACTGGAGGGAGGAAATGTTGTGTCTGCCTGGAATCCCTAATGAAGCCTGCTCTTTTCAACACAGTGCCAGGAAGTTGAAGTTGAGCAAAAGCAATATATTCCAGCACTGTATAGGTCAGTGGTGTAACTGCTCCAAAACAGCTGGCTAAGGGTATGTTTATGCATATATCTGTTCCTTGCAAAAACATCCACCTTTCAAAACTCCACTTCTGTGCTTCACTGCTAGACAGGACTTGGGAAAGGGCACAGGACAGAATGAGCTATTGCACTCATGACCTGCTTGTGTGCTTCCTAGAGTCATCTAATTGGCCACTGTGAGAAAAAGGATGCTAGACTAGATGCACTCTTTTATATTCTTATGACTACTAATGGCTATTCCCCATGATAGCTGAATTTGTATGGCAGTATGATGGCAGTATGCCATTCCATAAAACCATGAAAGCTGAACATGAGGTGCTGGAGATAAACCTGCTTGGGTTTTGCGATCAGCCAGTGAGATCCTGATTTCTGGCCCATTGATAAGAGAAATTACTGTAGGTTGAATGGAATGAGGGAAAGGACCTTTGTGAGGTTTCACCACACTTTGGAACTATCTCTCTCCCCTGGGAAATAAGAGCGGTTGATGATGCAGGGTTTGGGAGAACTCAGCAGCCTCATTGTGAAGCTGTCGTTCCAGGGCTGCATCCTTCTTGTTGGTTTTCATCTGTACATAGTGATTCCCACCCTCTGCAGACATGTCACATCTTGCATCACAAGCTGAGGAGGCGAAAATTACCTAATGATGCCCCCCAGGTTAATGGGTGGGCCTTTCCTCCACCATCTCACCTAATGGCTAGGTAAAAGAAAACAGCCAGAGTTGTGTGAAAGAAAATTGGAAGAAGGCTAGAAGACATGCTTCATCTGTGCTGTGCAGGATTCAAAGCTGTAACTAATAGAGAAGCAAGATCTGCTGAGATATTAAAGCTGTATCCCTCTCCGTGTAGTATCTATGTGTAAATAAAACCATACATCCTACAGACACCACAATTTCCACCGACTTTCATTCCAAGAAAACCAAGCCTGGAAACCCTGGATTCTCTCACTACTCTGATATCGGGATGGCTCCTTATATTCCTTGTGTTCGCTTTATTGACTGCTCTACTGCTGACTTGTCATGTACTATTGCTCGACTTCAAGGGGGTACAATGTGGTTTAAACTGCATTGTATTTTGTTATTATCAGTCATTGCCACTGCCCTGTGCTGTGATAGTGAATCCTCTCAGTTAATTGCATTTGGTATGATGAAGTATTTTCTTTTGTCTGCTAGCGATTGCCTATTTTCTTTGAGCTCGGTGACTTCACATCTCTTTATCTTTGAGCAAGAAGTGAAGGAACATGGCAAGCTATTCCTAGGAAAATCTCTCACGAAGAAGGTCCTTTGCAAAGGATCTGATCCAAGCCTTAAAGTCATGACCTCCCACAACTGTCTCAATCAGATTCCAAGCTGACTTCCATAGAGGGTTGACTTCAGGGGACTTTCCATGCCTATTTTCTGACCCCCGATAAGCTGTCCATGACAGACCACTTCCCAAGAGGGAAAAGGGCAGAGGCGTGATTTCATCTCACTTTGGCCAAATGTGGAGACATTTTGCTCTCAAATATAGCGCAACTTCACCAGCCACTACATTTGTTAAACTGGTGTCTTGCTACCAACAGACACCCCCAGCTAGAGGTGACACTAATATATTAATCAACGTAAATTATTGCCTGCATTCCTGCTTGCTGTGAAAAAAGGCACATTATTTCAAATTACAGTGATCCAAATCACGGCAATAAATGCAATAAAAAATATGAATGTAATTATTTAAAGTGTTTGTTTCGAAATTCAGCTTTATCTACAAAGGATGTGACACAAATTACAACGCCCTGAGTTACATTAAGAAAAGCTCTGGACTCCTTTGTCAGAGAAGACCAATAAACTGAACTCCAGACAAAGCATACCAGGAAGGCTAATCAGAATTATGTTGGATGTCCCTAACAAGAAATATCCTTGCAGTATTGTTGGCCAGGGGGGCAGGGGACCTTTCCCAAAGGTCTGGATTCACTTCTGGGGGAATATTTTTTTGTTTGTTGAATTTACAGGCCACCTTGTTCTTAAAGGAGCTCAGGGCATACATGGTTCTTCCCCTCTTCATTTAATCCCCACAACAACCATGTGAGGTAGGTAGGTTAGGCTGTGAGCCAGTGATTGGCCGAAGGTCACCCAAGGAGCTTGATTGGCTGAGTGGGGATTTGAACCTTGGTCTCCCAGATCCTAGTCCAACACTCCAACCCAACCTTTCTCAACCTTGGGTTTCCAGATAACATTGTATTGCCATATCCCGCCATCCCTGACTGCTGCTCCTGCTGGATACAGATTATGGGAGTTGTAGTCCAACAACATCTGGAAACCCAAGGTTGAGAAAGACTGCTCTAACCACTACACTACAGTCGTTTTCAGTAGTGGGCAAGGCCAGGAGGAAAGAAAGTGTACTGAGCTAGTTTCTACAAACATAGGAAGCTGCTGAAACTGAGTCGGACCATTGATTCCATCTAGCTTAGTATTGTCAAAGTAGAGTAGGGTAGGCTGATTGGCAGTGGCTCTCTAGCATTCCAGACAGGGGAATTCTCAGTCCTACCTGGCGACACCAGGGATTAGACCTGGGACCTTCTGCATTCAAGAGAGATACATACTACTGACCCTTCCCCATAAGCTCGTATCTACACACACCTCTATCCTCTACAAAGGCAAACAAGAAGGATTATCACAGTTTGAGGTCACATTCTAACCAGGCAAAGTTACAGGTAGGTAGCAGTGTTGGTCTGCCGTAGTCGAAACAAAATAAAAAAAAAATCCTTCCAGTAGCACCTAAGAGACCAACTAAAGAAGGCTGATCACCCAAGAATTGATGCTTTTGAATTATGGTGCTGGAGGAGACTCTTGAGAGTCCCAGGGACTGCAAGAAGATCAAACTGATCCATTCTTAAGGAAATCAGCCCTGAGTGCTCACTGGAAGGGCAGATCCTGAAGCTGAGACTCCAATACTTTGGCCACCTCATGAGAAGAGAAGACTCCCTGGAAAAGACCCTGATGTTGGGAAAGATGGAAGGCACAAGGAGAAGGGGATGACAGAGGATGAGATGGTTGGACAGTGTTCTCAAAGCTATCAACATGAGTTTGACCAAACTGCGGGAGGCAGTGGAAGACAGGAATGCCTGGCGTGCTCTGGTCCATGGAATCACGAAGAGTCGGACACGACTAAACGACTAAACAACAAGCATAGAAATAAAAATATGATGATATCTGTCTGAAGTCTGGAAGGCTACCCTACGCCACATGCACAGAGGGAAAATGGAACCAGCAACAGGATTCCTCCAAATAAAAAAATTCCTTCCAGTAGCACCTTAGAGACCAACTAAGTATGTTATTGGCATTGGTAAAGTGCAAAGCAGAAGCAGTGAAGGATGTGGGCCTAGAGAGAGGTGGTGTAGCTGGACAGAGTCCCAGACATCAGGCAAAGAAGCTTGGAAGGCCAGATTTGGCTCATTGGACTGATTTTCCCAACACCTTCCCTGCAAAGCTGGAGGATACCCAACCTGAAATAATTTTTATCTTATGGGAATAAAGGGTCCCTGTATAGGTAGGAGGTGAAGCATCCTCAGAAGCCAAGTCTCAATGAGGAAATAATTGGGAAATGCCATGGAAGAGAACTGGATGGCATTCCTGTTTGTCCTCAGCATGCTCTGTCCCACAAAATCCCTCAGCTTTATAGCTGAAGTGATGGAAACATGTTCCTTCCACTTTGGAGGTCACTCCTTTTGATATCTGGAAGTCAGGGACACATAAAATTCTAGAGCTATCCTTTGTCCAGCTTCCTTTTTGCTTGCAATTTTACTCTGTTGGAAGATTGGAATACTTTTTACTCCTTCTGTGCTTTGTTTTGGGACCAGTTACATGGCTCTGAACAGATGCCCACTGTTTCTTTCTAAAAATCCAAACAGATGACATAGTCCATTCTTTTCTAGCTGGGTCAGGCTCACTTGGCAGCTAGAAGGAAGAGAGGAGAATTCAGAGCCTCCTCTACATAGCACATGTCATTTGACCCTATCCCATACAGCCATTCAGGGAGCCCCGGCCATTTGCTTTGGGAAATGTGACATTTGGCCGTGGGCTTAATGGTGCCGTTTCCCTAAAACTGACAGGTGCATGAAAAATTCACGAGTTCCTCAGTGGAATTTTGCAGGGAAATGCTTGTAGTTCTCCAGCCCTTTTGGCTTGCTTGCATCAGTAAAGGAAGCATGAAATAATTAAATTGCAAGAAGTTTATCTCAACACAGGAGGAGGTTAACAACTCCACACACACACACACACACACACACACACACAGACACACACCAGAAAAGCCCGCAACAACCATCAAATGTTGCCTAATGTCTTTTACCAGATATATGTGATGGCCTGGGATTCAGATTCGGATGCTGAACCTGAGGAATCCCAGCCTACACAGGATTCCCCGCCTCCAGAACCAGCTGAGCCAGGGCTGGGGCATGAGCCTGAAGGGTCCTCACCTGTGCTGGATCCTCAGGTGCAGGCATCAGCTGAGTCTGCTCTGGCTCCTGAGGTGATGGAGGACCCATTGCCTGCAGGTGCTCCACTCTCAGCCCCATCAGAGGAAGCTGAGGTTGCCTCTGGGTCCGATAACCCTCCAGCCTCTCCTGAGCTGCAGAGGCTCAGGGCAGAGAGGCAGAGGGAACTAAGTTCCTGCAGGAGGAGTGCTTGCCTCCAGGCCAGGAGAGGCAAGTCACCTGAGGATTGGGGCCGCCCTATGCCTCGGGGCAGATAAAAGTGAGCCAGCCCCATTCCCAAGTTGCGGAAGCAATATTGTTGGTCGCCAGTTCCTGCCTGAACCCTGCCCTGTACCCAACTCCAGCTTTTACGGGCTGCCTCCATATTGCTCCTTCGACCTCGGACTGGAGTTGTATCTCGCCTCTCAATTTACCCACGGGACCAGCACAATATACTTGCTCTGATGAAAGAACAATGAGTCATGGCTGTTATGTGACGGGAACTCTATTCAGGATTTCCTATTCTGTCTTGTGGGCTCCCATGTTCAACAATGCAGAAAGAATTTGGGGGCTGCTCATGCTAGTATGGGTGATGGTCAGGGGTGATGAGAGTTGTGGTCCAACAAGTTCTGGAAGGCACCAATTGGATGCCACGGTGTATAGGATTGCAGTGAAAACATTGCCAGCCTTTTGCTGCCTGCCCTCTTCACTTTGCAGTGGACCATTCTGCCTGCCCCACCACTGCTCTCCAGCCTCAAACTTTTGAAAAGAAATATCCCAACATTAGTTCCAAATGCATCCACTCTTCAATACAGATTTACAATGTTTATTTTGAAATTTACTGCGGTAGATTGCTTTCGGAAAACTACAAAATATACCAACCAGTTAATCCTGCAAGGAAGAAATGATGAGTGTCGGTTTGATATTTGTGGAGCTTTGAGATTTATGAATAAACATTTCCTACCTAATAAGAAATGACTGCACCGCCTTTTTTCTTGATAGGCATCACAAAGATCTGGTTGGCTACTATGAGAACAGGATGCTAGAATAGATGGGTTGTTGGCCTGATCCAGCAAATCCCTTTTTATGTTCTTATGATCAAAGCCTTTCCCCACACCCCATTAAATTTACCCACCTCCCCAATTCGGCATAGAGGGTTGATGCGCAGTAGCAAGCTACTCCTTCCTGGGCTGGGACCTCAGCACACACTGGATACACATGAACATTTCTGTCATATTGTATGGATGCCCAAACAGCAAGACCAATTCTTCCAAATGCATCCTTAGAACAGTGCTAAACCTAATTCTGCTGGTCTTCAATTCCATCCTCCCCTTCTTCTGTCCCCCAGTTCCTTATTTGCCCTCTGGCTAGTTGTAACTCTCAGCATGCAGTTCACCTGCCATGGTACCATAATCCATACCTACATCTCCGTCACAACCAACACTTGAAACGGCACACTTTAAAATGTGTAGAAATGCACTTCTTCATAGGACCAACCCTACCGTAAGTCAGAGTAAGGTGTTGGTAGAAGTTGTGGGTGCAGAAAATGATGGTGAGCTGTTAGGTGACAGAACTGTGTGTGCCCCATGGCCAGGCTTGGGCCACTTAATCTTCTCTGCTGCTCTCTGGATATGATGGGGACTTCTGTTCACCACCAGTGCTCAAGTGCCCTTCCGGGTACAGTTGGACTCCAGCTCCCATCAACCCCGATCATTGGCCATGCTGGCTGGAGCAGATGGGAACCGGAGTCCAGTACAGAGCCATGGGTTCTCTACCCTTCGCCTCGATGGATCTTGGTCAGATTCATCAAGATGTTATATCTGCATGCCTCCCACACGACCGTTATATATTTTGGTTCTCTTGTCCTGTGTGTAACATTTTACATCTGCCCCTGTTAAATTTTATTTGGTTGCTTTCGTGTTATTCCAAAGTAACATGTGTGGAGGTGGCTTCTTTGCTGTATAAATCCCCACGTTGATATTTAGGAGTTGTTCTGAAGGCTGCTGTTTGCAAGGATAATGAAGAGAGCATTGGCTTTGTGTGTGCCTTTGTGCTATAGACCTCCGATGCAAGCTGCAGAAAGTGTAACAGAACAAATTTATTTGCAGCCATGTAATTAGAGGGTATATATACTCTCCTCTTCATTCCTGTAATTAAAAGGAAACTTTTATTTCTCATTTGCTTTCCCAGAGGTAATTTTAGAGGGAGCATAATTAGAAAACTATATTACTTTTGAAATCAACACTTTTGTCCCTACACAGCTCTGGAGTGGAAGCAAGCCCCCTCCTACTGGTAATAAGGTTCTCTTAAGAATGGATTTTGCTATCCAGATTCCCAAAGAGTGTAAAAGAAGAGTCAATGCATAGGAAGGGCTGCCTTTGAGAAAAGGAAAAGAGAAAAAGGATCCGGCCCTGCACTTACAACTGCTTGGTTCAGCAAATAAATTGCTAAGTTGCAAAGACACTGAGAAGGGGGGAGAGAGAGAAAGAGAAATACCTGCCTTAAATGCAGAGGCAGAAGCTCTGAGCACATTAATCAACACACATCTGCAACGTTGTAAACTTACACATCTACCCTGTGTTATAATTATGTGTGGGAGCTGATAGAGTTGGGGGGAAAAACAGAGAAGAACAAGGCTCCTTAGCAACACAGATTACTTTCTACTTTGGAGCAAAAGGAGCTGGAAATTCTCTGCATGTATTAAGAAAGTAGTAGACTTACAGATTTTGTTGCATTTTTCACCAAACAGGAAATCATTCAAGGTGACTTGA